CTGAAAAAAAAAAATTAAAAAGCATAATACTATAATCCTATGTTTAAACTGTATTTTCTTCTGGCTGCCTGACAGCAACCTGTAAATCTGTATTAATAAGTAAATGTTGTTCAAATTATATCGTGTTTGATATCATTTTCATCAGAAAAATCTCACCAACGTGTTAAAAAAAATTCCAGATGAAAAAAAGTAAAATTAAAGAAATTATATTTTTCTATTATGATTTGTCGAGCCGTGAAATCTCGTAAAGGAAATCGACTGGTGTAGCTTTACACGCTTGACCGACTGCGAGTGAGATAACATGGGCGCAGCAATGACGCAGACCTAGGCGTAGGACCATCTATACTGTCACTTGTAGAATCCAAACTTACTGACTCTTGTAGAGAATTTACTGTATTTATATCTCTACCCAACCATACAACATTTTTCATTCATTTTAGTCCATTCATCAAAGTGACTAACTCTATAAATTAAAATTAATTAGATTTGTTTTATTTACGAAAAATTAAGCACCAAGTATGTGCTTCGATATTAAATATTGGCGTTACTCATTTTGGTTTCTGAGTGGCTCATGTATTGTCAGTGGAACAGATATAGTGAGGTCGTAAAATCAATCGGGCGTCAAAGTACGCGTAATCCAAGCGTCAAAACAGTAATTCAAGGGAGATAAGGAGCTCGTGACTCGCTTATGGCGATTCGATGTCGACTCGGAATTGCTTCTTCCATTGCAGTATATTTAAAAAGATTATCTATTCCTTAATCGTTCACAGCTGAAAGTTAATTTCAATTAATATAGGAATTACCATTGAGCAGAAGGCTTAATATCGAATATCTGAAATGAAAGATAGTAAACAAAAATTGTAAACATTAATTCACAAATGACGCACGGCCCTGAATGCTGCTACATTAATACTCGGACGATAGGCTGTCGGGCGACTTACGCCTGGGTCCGTTTGGACCCAAAAAAATTTTTGTTTTGTTTAGAGTGATTGATTTATATTAATATACGTTGTTTAAATGCATCTTTCGAGGCACGCTAACTTCGTTATTGCTCTAACACAAACATAGGGTGCATCAAGTATCGAAGAAGCGATCTTTGTACGTCTAAAGTGGAGTCCGAGCAGTCCCAAGCGTGGCCGTCCGAGTGTTAATCAGTGTCGCCGCTCGATGCTTTATCCCTTTGCGGTTCGAATAGTCCAGTTAGTCTGCATTCATTCGACCTCTGTCGGGCAATACCGTGTAGTTTGCGTTTATTTCAATATTTCAGTGTAATATCAATTAGGGTAATTTCGGGAGAGATGGGCCGGCGGGAGAGACGGACCAGGCAAGTGTTTCCTACATTATCCGCCAGATATGGAACAAAAAACACTGAGAGCCACGCTCAATCGCTTTCCGTAAAACAAATGTAAAACAAAAGAATACTGACGCGTTCCACATTTGGCGGATAATGTAGGAAATACTTGCTTGGTCCATCTCTCCCTAATTACCCTATGCAATATTAAGTTTCACTATAATGTAAGACGATAAATATGCAAGCGCTTAAAGAGACGGCTAAAATAACGGGGTAGTTCATCCGCTGGTAACTATTGGTAAAATTGTGTCCGTCGCTGCCCTTTCCCCCGTTTTTATATATTTCGTCGGCCGTTGGGACCGTGCAAGCCTTGGGGTGGGGGGTGCAGCCTGCACTCATCCTTGTTTAAGGCCCTCTGCGGCTTGGGTCTCGTGGTTGTCGCATAGGCGCGTCGAGATTTTAAAAAAGTGATCTATTATCGTTTATAATTTATAATTTATCATTGTATGATATCCGAAGGCAAGAATTCCTATGTCGAGTCTGACTCGATGTAGGATCGCAAAGGGTTAATTTACGCCCTCGCTATATCGCTTCCATCAACGATACACCTATCTTATTCCACCCCTTCTTCAAACCACCTGGTACATTCGTTTGCTTCTTTCTTTGTTTCTTGTTTAATAATTCCAAGATATTTCATATGCTTTTCAGGATGGCAGCATTCCCTTGAAATTGCACTTGACTGTACAAGAACAGTACATGAAACCGATAGAACCAACGAAGTCACTGGAGACTGAAGACATTCCAACCATGCGGGAATTTCCTAAAGCGATGAAAAGGCTGCTAACAAATTGGCTACTAACGTTTAACAATCTAGGCGGCGTATTTTACGTGTTAGGTGCATCGGCTTACATAACATTTTTGGCGAAATATCTCGAGGTACAGTACAGCACCTCTGCTGCTGGTGGCACGGTAATTGCAGGTGTGTCATTTGTAAAAATCCTAGTCTCACTGAAGCAATTAATCCGAAATCATTGTTCTACATATTATTGATTCTAAATCGTTGCAAATTTTTCTATTTCAAGGTCCGCTATCGCTCGTTGGTATGGTACTCGGGTTTTTGCTTTCTGGATTAATTATTTGCAAGTTTCAACCTGGTCCCAGGCCGCTGTTAGCATGGAATGTTTTTGTCGGTCTCTGTTTCGTCGCTGGTCAAATACTCTTCATTTTTCTCGGTTGCACCGATGTCAGCATCCAAGGTCTCGACTTAGAAACAATGCAGTGAGTACATGTTTCCTGCTTATCGAGGGTTGTTTTTAAACACTCAGAGATTGTATATCACTGTTCATTGCTAGATTAGTGTAGCTTCGCGTGTAGTTCCATTTATACTGAAGAAAACCAGCAGTGTACAGTTTTGTCAGCTCGTTATTAACCCTCGTACGACGAATGCAGGGTCATTTTGACTCAACAGCGATAAAGTCAGGCGGCCCAGATTATGTTTGATACAGGAAATACACCTATTTCACTTATCAAATGTAAATAAACAAGAAAAATTTTAAAAATATTTAGTTGAAAGTATACACGTTTATACACAATTCCTTCTTGAAACCCGTGTGCAATAGAAATTTTGCGACCGCCTAAAACCATTCGCCTTCCGAGGGTTAAATACAGTGGATGATCAAATTATTAGAGCTACCTACAAAAAATTGACGGTTGTACATTAAAAGGGTTAATTTTTAGACGAAAGTCGAGTTACACTGAATTCTTATTATTTTTTTTTTACGAAACATCGATGTTTGTAAATTGCAAATATTCACTTGGCAACACTTTAGGCAGCATTATCTGTCATATGGATGCTTTGTATCAGAACTGCAAAGTAACGTACTGATTATCAGTTTATTATTCAGTTGTATAATTCCTTTTTGATAACTATGAAAACGTATTGCGATCAACTTCTTGTTTCGTCGATTTATAGAAATAATATACTTGTAAAGCACGTCAGAAGAAACGTTCCTTTGCATTACTACCTTCTTGACAACGTAAAGTACCATTTCTCCTAACATAAGATGCGGAGCGCACTCCACAGGATTTAATGTGACTTTTATGTATTAGACAAAATTTATAGATGTCTTGAAATTACGTCAGAAATGTTTAATACGTTCGTTCTATTATTAAACAGAAGAAATTTATTTCAGGTGTCAAGGTGTAAGGCCATTCAGCCTACATAAATTATAAAAGTAGCTTTCTTCTAGGAATAACTAGAGCTAAATGTTTCAAACTTTTTTGAATAGTACATTCTCATTTAAAATTTGGAGTATCTGAAGAAGTGAAATGTAAGGGTTGAAAAATTTCAAGAAAACAAGTTAACGAAATGTTAACTTGTAACTTTGGAAATATTTGAAGATTCAAATTTGTCGAAGCGTGAACTTACACCTAGCATGATTAATTGTGATAGACGTACTAGAGAGGAGTAATTTCTCAATTTCTCGAATAAATAACGAATACCGTAAGATTGTTGTTTAACGACAACACAAGTAAATTGAACCAATTAATTTACGTTGCAGAATGAACCTGACGTACAATTGTAACACCGGTTGCAATTGTAACGGCGTGAAATACTCTCCGGTCTGTCACTTGGCGTCGAGGACGACTTTTTTCTCCGCCTGTCACGCAGGTTGTCAGACGATAATCAGCGACAAAGAATTCGGGAACTGTAGTTGCCTTCCGTTGCCAGGCTCGTCGAATTTCGAGAATCATTCCAGTTACAGCGAGTTGCTAACGGAGGATCAACTGATCTACATGGACGGTCCGTCCGAAATGCTGAATTTCGACAAAGTCAGAGCCGGTCCCTGCGTGAACGACTGCAGTCATCCTTATCTTCTGTTCACGGTTCTCACCTGCATCATACAAACGTTAGCGTGTTCCGGAAAAATTGGTAACGTCCTGGTAAATTATCGCAGCGTCGACAAGAAGGATAAAAGCTTCGCGCAAGGTATTACCTTGATGACCATTTCCTTATTTGCCTTAATACCGGGTCCAATTATTTACGGAGCTATTATTGACTCAACTTGCTTGATTTGGGAGGAGTCCTGTGGAACCAGAGGGAACTGCTGGTTCCATCACGGAAGAAACTTCCGATATTTAGTTAATATTACGTCGGCAGGTAAGTTTTCGTTGGTAATTTGCAAATAACATTTAGTATAGGAAAGATTAGGATATTAATTCTTTCACGTCTAACGTCGACTTTAGTCTCCGTTCGTGAAATTATTTATGGCTAGGAATGTTGACGTGGAAATTGTTGAGAATATTGGAATTTTATTCAATTCTGAAAATTATCGAAGTATGTACTACTTAAGGGGGTCTTCTAGTGTGGCGGTTTCAAAAAATCGCTTCTTATTTTTTTGCATACATCGAAAGTACAACTCTTTAAGAATGTACCCCTGAAGTTTTATAGTTGTATTCAATAAAATAACGAAGTTGTAGCTCGTTTAGTGTGACACATCAAGGGAGAATCTAAATTGCACTCGAAACTTCAATCGCGTTTTTCTCGGAACCATGCTTTTCGAAATGGTGTCCACGATATCTCAAGATCGACATCACCAATTAAGGCCAACCACAATTGTCTCAAAATATTTCTTTTTTTTTTAATTTTGACAGCCCCATAAACTCAGTTTCTAAGTGACGTTATTTTTTAAATTTACAATATCCTTCTTTCATTCTGGCACCGGCTATAACCAAGGACATACAAATAAGAAATCCTTTTGAACTTTTTGTTTTAGACAATCAGAAACCGTCCAATAGTGGACACCGTTTGGGCGCCGCTTTTTTTCAAGAGCAGCTTCAAAGCGGTCCACTTGAGTTAATTTTAATCTTTTTGCTTTCAAAAAAATTGCAAGTGTAATCGAAATGTTATTAAGTATGCAGAAAGAAACAGGGTTGCAGTAACTTTCATAAGTTCCTCATAAAAAAATTCTGAAATAACGCAAAGAAAACGCTTCGTTACACTAGAAGACCCCCTTAATTCGACGTGGCTATTCTGTTATTTCATTATTAGTTATTTCCATTCATGTCGGTATATACTTGTATATACTAGCGATCTAAATAATGCATTTACGAGCATTAATTAACGAAGTGAAACAATAGCCAAATCGTATTCATTGGTACACTGCACCAGCAAGATTCCGAAGTAGATTCTCTCGAAAGCAAACTTTAGCACGAAAAAATTCTGTTGTCCATTTTTCACGCACTTTCTCACAAAGAGTTACACTTTACCTGCTGCACATACAAACCGTTTGTATTGTTGTGCGTGTTTATCGTATACAACGTGTCCCGCGCAATTGAATGGAGCTATATTTTCAAACCGATTAGAGACAGAAGAATATGTCACAAGGCTAACAATAAGCGAAATGGAATTGGACGCTGAAAATCTCTATATTATTTTTATGCATATTAAAAGTGCTGCACTATACTTTTGGGTATACTATTCAATGCAACTGTTCATTCTCTGCAAGGAAATATTAATGTGCTTCGGTATGTCCTGAAGTTTTGATATAAATAACATGCACCAGAGCGATCTTAACATTGCAATAACTTGGGAACTCGCAACTAGGGTATTGGTACCTTCGTAGATTCTTTATAGAGGGCGAAAAACTGCGTCGAATAGTGCAAAAAAAAAATGGCACAATCACAAAAATACACAAAAATAATGCAAGTACGTAGAACATTTAAACGCATTTAATTTAATTTCGTGGCATCTTTTTCTCTTTTCAATCATTTTAAAGGTGCAATTTCACCCAGTTATGGGACACCCCGTATAATAACGTATGACTGTTTTTTATTATTGCAAATATTGCTGGAAGTGACTTTTTATCGTGGAATGCCCTCCGCTCTTTTATATTTCTGCAAATATAGTTGACGAATCTTTATCATCAATTCAGATGATACATTTTGGGCTTACTTTTTCATATACTTTTCGTATTACCAGTATGTCGGAAATTTTTAATTTCACATCTTTCAAGGCTTTCGCAATGCAAAAGATATAATTTTTGGGTATTGAAGTTAGATTCGTCTGTGTCTCTACCTTCAAGACTATTAATTACAAGCCGTAATTTATTCGTTGATCAACTAAAAGAGAAAACAGCAGAATTCTAAGTAATTTTAGCACAGTAGTCACTATTTTTGTTACCGTTGTCAAAATACTGCGACAATTCTTTAATCCTTTTCTGAAAGAACACTTGTGTTTATTTCACTAACATTTTCGTCACTTCAAATCTTCATTGCTCTGTCTCTTTCAACCACCTTATAACCGATAGTGCATATTCCAAATTACCAGTATCTCGATTTAGTTACTGCGACATTAACGATATTTTGCCTGTGTAAACAAGATATCACGTAAGAAATACTTTCAAGTTGTTGCAAGTTTTCCGAGTTTTTGCTTCTATTCTGAAATTGATTTCAATATCCTTTCATTTGCTGTTCAACCGAAGAAAGTGGACGCGTAATTAAACGGCAATCCTGATGTGTCCGTTAGTCTCACACGCTTGCATCCCTGACGAAATTACAACGCTTGTGAACTCGTGATGCACTGACATAAAAAGCGCTAGTTAGGATAGAAATAATTTCCCGAGAGAAAGACATTTATGAAAGCATTATAAAACACCGAGTTCGCCATTATCTATTGCAAGATCATGTAAATACAATACTAGAGACGAGATGGTGACAGATAGATAACAAGGAAGTTTAACACTTATCTTATCTAGCCTCGATGGATTCTTTTAAAATATAGCTTCGCGGTCTAAATTACAATATAAACAGTGATGTAACGATTCATCTCTAATCCGAATGTAAACTTCGTACATTAGTAGCATATACCACATATATTTGTAATGAAATGTATTTGGTGAATACTTCTGCCGAACAGGCAGGTTTCAATTCATGTCAGATTGTTCGAAGCATATGTTCTTATTTAAACGCATTATTTTACGAATCTCCGCTTTGCCGTATTTAGTTCTCAGAAATGTTACTATTAACATACTTTGCTACCGTTCTTTGTGCAGGATTCTCGATAATAGGAGTGTTGTTCGATGCAGCGGTTTGTTATCTCGGAAAGGATTTGGATCTTTACGGCGCCCAGGAAACCGACAGACGCCGTGAATTTATCAAAGATGATCCCGCGCCGCCAATCACCGATGGCGAGAAGAAAAAAGAAATGAACGGAAATGTGAATTAAGGTCGAAATTAACCGGAACCGTATAAATTTAGGTGTTTCACAATACAAACGAACCGAGGTTTTATCAATTGTTGCGTAAATTCAGAAAATTTCCAATTTCAATTGAGCATTGGCGACGAAAATTGTTTTCGAAAATCGAGTCGCGTGTGAACAACGTTTATGCTAGCTAGTTGACTAAATCAATCACAAGCTAAAGTTCAAAGCATTTAAAAGATGATATACCCAGACTGCTAAACTATTTGCACGATTGTACAGCATTATTCGTATCTATTTGTAAATAAAGTATCAATTTTTGTTAAATGTCTTTATATCGTTTTCTCTGGTGCGAGTATTCCATAGAATTAAACGCCACGAATCTGATTTTCAAGGAACGCCACGCTATCCCTGTTGAATCTACGATTGATCGAACTGAATACAAAGAAGCATGACGTCGAGCACAGTTTTCTTCTGTAACAGCGAGGGTAAATTTGCCTAATACGAGACAGTTTATCTTCGTTACAGAACGCTCGAATGTCGTAGCGATGCTGTTTCGTTTCGCAATTAATCGTGTTAATTATCAAATTTTATTAAAATCAATTAAGCGTCTTGGGCAAGCATATTTGTGAAATGCGTTGCAGGAAGATTCTGAAGTGGCTCGATTAAATTACATCATTTTCGTAAATACTGTTGTATAGTACATGGAATGGAGTTTAAGGCTCACTGGTTGTGTATCATTAAAGAATGAAGACTTAACCTCGAAGCTATTTAATAATCATCATGCCATCGTTTCCGAATATGAGACCCTCGGAAGAGACCCTCATATTAGGTACCAATTTTGCTTTAGTGTATAAAGTGTTACCGGTGGGCCCACGAAGACTGCGGTGCTGAAGAAATGGATTTTACATGCGCAATGTGTGAAAAAAGGCAGAAAAAATGATTTTCAGGGACAAAGAAACCGGGTCTAATTTGTATAATTGTAGTTTTTATTTTATTATGAAGGAACCGAATTTTTTTACCGTACTTTCCAGTACGTAACAGAAGAATACATATCTCACTTTCAAAACGTGTACCGAATTTTACTGAAAGTGTCCTTAGTCGATAGTTATGACATTTTCAAGACACGAATCTCACATTAGGCAACTTTACCCTATCTGTTTAGTCAAATTTATTAAAACCCAGGCAACGTTTAACAGTATAATATATTTCATCGTATTACTTAGAAATTACCGCGAATCGCAGAAAAACTCTAATTTCTCGTACATATACGTAAGCTCAAAAGTAGCTTTAAATTCGGAGATCGAAGACGTCATTTTAAAAACAAGGGTATATCAATGTTGGAAGTAAATTTTCAGCCATAATCTACGGTTAATCGTGAAAAGCACAATTGAATGTGAATTAATCGAGCGGCGACGAATAAATTCTAGCCCATCAACGAGAGGCAGAAGAGGAAAACTAGAAATCGATCCGGTGTGTTAGAGATTTCGTTACGCGATAAATGAAGATCGTCTCCCTCCGGAGAATCAAATAGCCCAGGGACGGTTTGGTTAAATCCGCCGCAAATAGGACGTAATGCCCCGAGAGAAGAAAGGGGTTTCGGCCGGGTGTACGGTGAACGAGGAAGAAAGTATACTTAAATCGGCCGATCGACGGTTTCGGCTGATTCGCCGGCCCAGAGAAGGAGAAAGAGAGAATCGAGAAGGGGGTAAAGTCTTAAGGCTTGTTTTCAGGCTTCCATCCCGAATTCTGGGGTCGACGCTGGGTGCAGAGAGTTCCACCAGTTAAGGGATTACAAACCCGCGAGCCCGAAAGTAAAAAGGAAGTTTTTGTTTGAGAGCCTTTTAATTTTTAAGCCCAGGCAGACCGAGCCAGAAGAACCGGCTGCGTAATGAATTCCACGACGTCCCCGTGACGTCAAGACGTCTCTATCGATCGCGTCTTTAGGCACGCTACTGGAGGATGCGCTTTGGTATTACCGAAGGATTAAGTGCCCTGCCTCTTATTCCTTCGTAAATAAAGAAAAATCATGGCTATGATCGTCGTCGGTCCTCCAGGCTTCCCAGGATCAACTCGCTTTTCAACCATGTCTACCGAATCGGATACCTCCTCGTTCCAAGGATTTCTCTCCTTTCTCCGGGCACCGTCAAGCATCACGATTACCGATCGCGTCCTTGTCGAAGCTGGAGAACGGGTCCGCAGAAATGTCGAAACTTTGTCAAAAATGAAATTCCGAAATTTGTTCAAAAATGCTAATCTTATTCACAGAATACCAATTTCAGCAATCCAATACTCCTTCCTTCTGTTTATTTTCTTTCCTTTTTTCAAATGCTTTCCAATTTTCAAGAATCCTTTTCACGCTTTAACGTGTTATTAAGCAACTTTTCGAAAAATATGAAGTTACTTAAAGCGTAACATCGGACAGTTCCTTACGGAAAGAAGAGAGCCGAGCGTAATTGAAATTGCGAATACTTAATGTCGTTAACTCGTTCGAACATTTACAGTGCGCCTATAATCGCGACTACTCGAAGACAATTCGAAACTAAGCTCGCGAGTGCAAAGTCGATAAAACAATTATACAGTGCCTGGGTCTAGACGAAATGCGGACATTAGTTACGTTTCTCGATAGAACTGATACCAGCGTGAGCACGGTTGAAGATAAGACAATTGGCAGAAATTGGGCAGTTTTTGAATCGACGCCGACCATTCAAAAGGACGTGAAAGTACATATAAGTTTTGCCTCGTGTGTTGGAAAGTTTTGGCGTAGTGTGTACATGCTGCATTGTGCATGACCCTGACCCATCTTTCATATAGGCCTCATCAACGTCTTCTAAGTCGAGGTACAGTCTGATATAGACTAACGTCGACAATGCGCATCGGAAAAGGATAGACGTAGACGACGCGGCTGACCGGAAGCGACCAGTTTCAACTGTCTTCTTGCTTTTCCTCGCTCGCATTTCTCTCTGTCTCTCTGTGAATATAGACCAAAGTTTTTTTTTTTTTCATTTTTTATAAACAGCGATTTTTAAACAAACTCTACGATCTCGATCAAATTTCCTTCCGCATTGCAGTCGGATTTTTCGAATGCTGACAAGTATGACAAATATGATTGACAAACGATAATTGAAACGACGATTAAATTAAACTCATAATTGGGAATAACGGGTTAATTTTAAATTACGCGTTTCGAGTGATGGCGTGATAACATTACGCATAATATTCTTTGCGCGGAGAAGAGTGTCGGGTTGAAAGAGTATCAGCGCTTAAATTGCATACACGCAGAGTTGCATTCAGCATGAAATCAAGGACTGAATGTAACACAGCGTAAATAAAAAACGAAGAATGCGAATAAACGTGTATGCCGCCTTCCGAATTATTATGTAATACGCTCTAAATCGTTCGATCAATTCGTCTGATAATACTGTTTGCGAAACTGATGTCTACGTTGCTCACGTTAGTAGTTCACGCGTCACATGCCCCGAACGAATTTGCTTCCTGTTTGCATCGCGAATTATTCCTCGATAATTATCATCCGCAATGTCCGTTTGCAGAGTTGATTTAAAATTGCGACGATTTCAGTATCGACCAAAGAGTGTGACGAATCAAAAGGCTATTCGCCCTCGAGAAAAACGACGATTAGCATTAACTGTAGGTAATAATAATGATTCTAATGCAGCTCGTCCGGCCTTGATTCTTCTATTCTACGAATGCTGCGTAATTTAGCGACGCAAGTGGGTTGTAGCGTTCAGCGCGTCTAACGAAATTTGTCAATCTATTAGAACGACTCTCCAAGCCCTTGCTTCTCAATTTATCGGGACACCCGCACAATACGAACATTCTTATTGTGACGCGACCGCAATGCGCTTAATACAGTTTCCTTGCCCACGTCTCTTCTCTTCATCAGAAAACTTTCAACACCGCACACGTCCCGTGAAAATCAGTTGCAGTTACCTTTTCAATCGATCAACGTCCTGTATCTGGCAAGAAAACCTAGAACTAACAGGGAGAAGAGCAAAAGGGGTTGTAAAAAGACGAACTAAGAAACCTAAGCAGAAATCGTATTCTTGATTCGTTCTCCTTTACTTTCCACGATAAGAAGGAAACGTATTATCTACGAAGGCTGTCTTAAATTATGTCTATTATTTTGTTTGAAAAATCTTACAAGGAAGGAATTACTCTAGAAATGAATTACGTTTTTACGGCCATTTACATTTCGTAAACACATCGCCAGAAAGATCGTCGTAATTAAAAGTTTTCTGCGCGTGTATCAGGCGATTGTTTTATTTGTCTTCTCGATGAAACCGCGCTCGGTAGTTGTCTGATTCCAACTTTTTCACAAATTACGAGCGACTCGATGTAAACAGCAACGAACTGGTTCGTATATCAACATGGATTTTCAATCGTTCTCCTCGCCAACGAAAGTGTCCGACGAATTTCAAACAGGGTTAACGAATCTGACGAATTGGTGAGATGAAAGTAAAAAAATTCTAACGAGACAAAGCAACGCGCTTTCTATTTCACGTGTAGGCGTGTGCGTTTTTCATTAACAATCGATACTCGTCAAGAATGTTTCGCGTGATATTCGAGAAAATATAGTTAGCATAAATCATCCGTTTTTCTCAAAAGAACAGCGATTTATAAAATAACTTTATTCCGGGTATTCCGCTGTTTGACGAGATTGTTAGTTTATAAGGATAAATGAACGGAATAGAAGGGAAAGACGAGATCAGAACGTTTCGTTCGTTTAGTGACAAGTCGAGATTGTGTACTAATTTATTGCTGCCTTATCGTAGACGTAAATTTTCGTCAACAAACAAAATGTCTGGAATGTTTTTGCAAACACACGAACGTCATGAAGACAATGTTTCCTACAAGTCATGCCAAAATTGGCTAATAACGCCTTCATGACTTGTACGTTTCTCTCTGTACGAATGACATTGACGTCGGTATCACTTCCCAAGGTAATTAGAATATTCGATGGATTTCGTCGAGATAACATAATTAATCGAAAGAAAAATCACGCGGTTCCACATTCCCCTATTTGCCACTGAAGTTCTCCTGTTTCCATGACGAGTAGGCCACGCGCCAGGAAGATACGTTGCCATAAGCAGAGACACGTGCATTCTGAATTCGAGCACGGTTGGTAATATCGCTTAATTATCTCAGCGGTCGTGATAACAAGATTTTAATCGGTTTCACAATACCTTCCATTTTTCTCGCTTCAAGGTTACCGAAACTGTTTAAGTTAAATATTGGTGATTGCTTACTAAATAGAACGAAGTGAAGAATCGTTAATTTTTTTTAACGAGATTTACAAACCCGCGATATTCATTGCTAAATTTAAAATAAAATTTTCTAATCGCGAAATGTCATTATTTCGATATAAATGAAAAGAAACGGTTACTGTGTGAGATTTCTAAATTTAGAAACCTCCAAGCCATTTAAACGAGAAACGCGTTAATCCTATAATTAGAAAACTAATTACCGATAGTATTACAAGCTAGTCGGGATCGACGTTCGACGATTGTTTCTAAATTTAATAAAACCACGATAAACGTAACGTGCGAATTATCAAGGATGAGAAACTACTTTAGAAAAGTTGCACTTGTCAATTTCCACTTTATCTGAAATTTTGATAAACTTTTGCCAAAAATTTCTTTACCTCTGCAACAGAACTGTCTCTTTCTATTCCCTGTATTCTCTAACCGGTGTAAAAGATAAAAAAGGGCGTCGATGAAAGGCTGCGTATCCTGAGGTTGGTACACCGACGACAACATGGTCGCAAGCCGATCCATTCTTCGATGAAAAATTAAATTTCAGCAATTAACCAGCAGCTATTAGTGGTATAGCTGTTTGGTGTGTGCCATTAGCAATGCGCGGGTATAGACGGAAGAGTTTACCGGACGCGTTAGTGTGCGCGTATGTGTACATCACGTCGGCTCTATTAAATCATAATGGGTTCACAATGTGAGCTTCTGCTCCCGGAGGTTGATTAGAAACGAACATAGACACCATACCCAAAGCCGAGGCCTCGTCTATCTCTCGCTGGACGATCTATATCTTTCGACCCGGACCTACTTCGGAACACCTTTCCTGCGACAAAATTTCACGCTGCATCGAACGTTACAGCGGACACACGACATCGAAACTGCCATGCTTCAGTGTTACTGTTCATGAAATAATTGAAGCAAATTTCACTCGACGTAGCTTTATGTTACCGCAATTGTTAGAACACAGATGTTGTCGCTTTTCTTCGCTGGTCGTCTTCATCACGTCACGATTTTCCGATGGCTTCCTCCAATTGGTTTCGAGCATTTTTTACCAATTGCGTCGATGTGTTATCCTGCTCGTTATTAGAATGCTAATTTCGTCGGACGAAAAATGACAATTTGAACGCGACAGAACGGAGAGGAAGAGTTTACGGAGGAAAGTGACGTTTAATAAAATTTTGACGACGATAAAATGCTGTACCTTTATTTACCAAATGCGCATTTCAATCCATGCAAGCGGTGTCTTAAATAAGAAGCGCCACAGCTTAGAGTTAAATGTTTCTCAGAAGAATTATCGACGAAGGAAAAATTCACAGCTTTCTCAACTCACAACGACGAGCTCCTCCTCTCGCTTCTTTCTCTCGTGTAAGTTTTCCGTCTACGTCGAATCGTTAAACCTGAAGTAACCCCTTCATTAACTAGGCCGTATTATCGATACGACTCCGCAAATATAGATTATCAGAGGTGGATCTTTGAAAATGGAATCGAACAAGGACAAGTAGATTCTTCGGTTGTCGAAGGGACGAGAGAAATAGAAATAAACAAAGAAGGAAGACGCGCGCGCGCAACAGAGAGCATCGGATAGAAGAGACAGAGAGCGAGGAAATAGAGGGGGGAGGGGGGGAAGGAGACATGAAGTGATTGCAAGAGAGGTAGAAAATGTGCCCGCTTGATAACAGCAACGCGAACTGAAGTACCATAGATGCATCACAGTTCTCCGCGTCGTGATCCTCTGTCGTCCGATCGGTTCTTCGGGATCGAAAGTGGGGATCTACAGGAGCTACTGAACACGGTTTCATTTGTGTCGCTCTCAGAAGACGTTCTCAGTCGGGGAAGAATATCGTTCGTTTTCGGACACGATATTCCCATTTTTCGCGGGATCGTGTCGTAGTTGTTCCGTAGAAACGAACCCACGGCTCTCTATCATTCTAACATCAGGCCTACACTTTCAGTAACACTTCAAAATCGGGTCCAGCCAGTTCTCTGGAAAATCTTTCTTATTTTACGGTAGGTGCTATAAGATTTTTACAACGATGCCTCTAATCCCGTGGATTACCGCTTCATTTCCAAGCTTTTATCCCGTGTGTTTATTTTACTTACGGACACTGTGTACTTATGTACGGTTTATCAGTTGATAATGCAGCTTAGTTTCGAAATACTCGAACTTTCGCTCTGTGCCTCCGTTAATAATATCGGTTAATTTTTATAGACAATCACGAGTAATTGATTTACCATTGAAAATGTCGTTCAGTTCGAAAGATACACACTGTCGTACATGTTGCATTCAACGAATTCGTGTCTTCCGCGAGTCACTTGTTCCGGTTGTCTGTCAGACTTCACGACATTTCGCGCGAAACGTCAAAAAAACTGAGATTTCGTAGAGAATGCATTTGTTAAGGTTCGCGTGAGTCATCGGGGTGAAGAGAAAATTCGACAATTCTTATGCTGCTATTTGCACTTTCAGATAGAAGCAGATCGGTGTATCCCAAGCAAGAGATAAAATCGGATCGCTGCACGATCGACTTTAACCACGCGGTACTGAAACATGGAGAACACGTGACCGCGGAGGAGGAAAACGGAAGTCGAGCGAATATAGAAGGAGGCGCGACGGGGAGGGTGAACGAAAGGAAAAAAGCGATGCCAAGGGCCGCGAGAACGGCGGACGTCGATCGAAAACGTGCGATCAGCGATTGAGGTCAGCAAAGCGATCTCGAGGCTGCAGACTGGCGTTGCTTGCCGAATAGTCAACGCACTCTTTGGAACGTTGACGAAGATGAAGAATAACGCGGGCAACCACGAGAAGAACGGGCCCGAGAGCCTCAAGTTGTTGAGGGTACCGTCGACGCCGCCGACCACCCCAACTACACCAACCACACCAAGTTCCAGAGGTCTCGAGGACGTATTCAAGGAGCTACCTATCACCGATGAAACATCCTGCGGCATTTGGTGTATACGCAACCCAACCTTACAGAGATTCGCCAATAAAAAGGCATACGTGTTCCTCTACGGTGTGCTCGGATGTATATTTTCGGCGAGTTACGCGTACTTCAACGGTACCATCACCACTATCGAGAAGAGGTTTAAGATACCTTCAAAGACCACAGGTGAGAATCTACCAATGACAACTGTTTTCTTTTTTTCTTTTATACCTTGCATTGTGCAGTATGCAGAGAACACGCGAATACTGCGCGAGTGTTCAAGTCCACAGTTTAGATTTCCTTTTTTTTTTTTCTTCATTTCGTTCTACCTTGCATAATACGTTTCATTGTAACCGAGAGAATAAGTTTTCTTCGTTGTTTACTGTTCGTTTCATTCATTGGTATTTGATATATGTATGTATGTATACACACACAGCCTATTATCGTTACGCCGTTCTTCAAACATACCGATAAATGGAAATATTTCCGTTTTCATTAATTGATATCGCGTAAAGAATAAATCCATCAATTGTGAGATGTTATTAAAAACACGAGAATTATGTACTGTTCTATTTAATCAATATCAAATGTTTACATTTTATATCGCAAATCAATAAGAGACAAGCAAAAAGATTTAATTTCGTAAATCGAGGACATTAAACATGCACTTTTTTTTAGGTCTTATCACTGTAGGCAACGATATATCGCAACTGTTCGTGTCAGTGGTCCTGTCTTATTACGCAGGAAGGGGTCACAGGCCTCGATGGATTGCGTTCGGGATTTACACGGTACGTTTCAACGAAATAAGTTCATTTACGATCGTCAGAAAAGATTTTCTACGATTCTTATATTAGCCTCCCCGCCGCGTTCTCTCTCTCTCTCTCTTTCTCTCTCGCTCTCGCTCTCTCACTCTCTCATGGAGACCACAGAATGTAGAGAAAACAGTCAGCTGTCGGCACACGCCCCGAAGAATGAGCTAGGAGACGTCATAACCCACCGGTTGGTCAGTTCTTGATTAAATTAGGAAGCGTTGAAATCGTAGCTCTACGCTCATTCACGCCTCTTACCATCGTACTCTCGCCACCGTGTGCTTAGCTAAGCATTCCATTCTTAGATACATTCTTAGATCCATTCTTATTACGATTAACACCCGAGGAATTAGAAGACACAATTTTTTTTTATACTGAACGATATAAAATAGCGTGCTTGGAGTCCGATGCAATCTTAAAGTCTACAGTACAAGCTAAGCGAGAAGCAGTCACATTCTATTATGGAAAAACTTCAGACGTTACTTTTTTATCTGCACCTTTTTAACCAATTGTCGACACACTAATCTCCCTCGAGCACTCAATAAACGATTTTTAAACATTTTCTGATAATAAGGCAGGAGTTAGTCGTGCAGAAGAGTCAATTGTCACATTTTCGGTGTAAAAAGAAACGAATATAATTCGCTCACAAGTTAACTGACGATTAATTATTAATTTGAAGGAGTGTGGAAATGATATAAGTGTGCTTTTTTTCAAGATCCTGTTCAGCAGCTTCTGTTACATTCTCTTCGTCAAATTAATTACTCAGCATTTATCTTGTCTAAAACAGTTGAATACTCGGTGAATTATTGTCAGAGCAATCGTTCAGATAACATCAACGATAAACACTTTTTGTAGACAGTCGCGTACGATGATCGGTGCGATCTTGGATATAAAATGTTACAGAAATACATGGCATCTTCCAGACTGATTTTGTTTGATCACACAAATGTAAATACAAGAAAATGTATTCGTACTATCAAAGTAGTATGTTTTACGGTACACAACAGCAGCTACTAGAAACACGTAATATGGATGTAATTTCGAATCTTCTTTTTATTAGAATTTTATGCCACGACAAGTAATTCTTGTTCAAAGAAATGGCATTTAACGCATTCTGTACCGCGTCGTTCATACGTGAGCGACAATATACACTACCGGCCAAATGTTTGGAATCACTGTGCATTGCAAGTTGCACAAAAATTCCCCAAAAATGTTAGCATTTACAATAATTTTCCAACGAATTTTTTATTACTCAAATCAATCGAAATGGCATAAAGTGCTATTGATTTCTACCACATCAATTTCGAATCAATAAAGAATTACCAGCAGATTCAATATTAATATAAATTGACAGGTGATTCCAAACTTTCGGCCGGTAAAGTATGTGGATCACAAACAGAAATACATAGAAACAGTCACTTACCTTTTCAAAATGTATCAAATAAAATGAAAAATATAAAATTTGACACAAAGAAAAGGCAAAAAATGTTTGGTTTCTAATCAGAGAAAAACAAAATAGGAAACAGAGATGTGTTCGGTTTATATGAAAAATTAGCTTAAAATGCCCCGGTACAGAATGTGTTAATTACTTGCAGTACACAAAATTTTAATTCATCGACAATTTTTTATTGTATTCACATATTAATTATCGACCCTTTGTGCTCCTGCATCGAATTCTACTCCCGGTTGTGTAGAAAACCGTAATTTTTACATTAATACATCGCAAAATATGAAAATAATATGAAAAAGAAGCATGAAACGATTCTACGATAAAAATTTTAATATAATAAATGTCGATTAGTTGGAAAACGGAACAGCGTACATGACAATGTTATATTTCGTTTCTTTAGAGAACCGGGAACAATTAGGTTGGTCCATAACTTCCTGCAGTTTTTATTTCTCGTTGAATGAAACTCATAACATTTGCCTATCGGCTCTCGTTTCCTTCTTGTATGGTATCGTGAATTCTTTGGTTCCGTGCAAACAATGAAAGGTTCTTTGTTAAAAAATTATGGAGTGTCGGATTAGCAAAAATAAGCTTCTCCAATATATCTCACTTTACGAGTTTATTCGTGGTACTAAAGTTGCTGAAGCTGCCTATAACATTTATACCGTCTACGGAAAATGTTATGTTACTAACAGACGTAGGCAATTTTGTCATAAATGTTTAGTCACGTTCGACTATTTTAGTTCGATGAGGAGAGTTTGGAAGCTCTGCTTTGTAATGACAATCAACTGGTGAATTAGTCGAGAAGATGCCGTCGTGCCCCGCCATTTAAAGACAATGGGAAAAGTGTAAAAAGTTGGTTCATGGATTTCACATCATCTGAGCCAAGAGAGCAAGAATGAGGAAAAACCGCAGAAACTTATGGACCAACCTAATATTCTAATTAGTCGAATCAACTAAACTAATGTAATTAGTTGAAAAGAAAATTCTCTTCTCCGTAAAAGAGACAATAAAAGATTGATTTGTTTTATTCTTCAGGTAGTCCTCTTTTGCTGTTTAACGATGTTACCGCACTTCTTATACGGGCCAGGGGAAGATGCTCTTTTGCTCACGAAAGAACACGGAGCAAAGCCACAAACTGTAAATACGAGTGGTATACCTGACAAAAATCGAAAGTTCTTGTGCCTTGGGAAGGAAAGTCGGGAGAACGAATGCGACGATGCCGATGGAAATTTCGCGCCTCAAGTGTTGCTGTTTATAGCGCAACTAGTGTCAGGAGTCGGCGGTTCACTTTATTATACCCTGGGAGTATCCTATATGGACGACAATATACAAAAATCGAAGACACCGGCTTTAATCAGCTTCTCGTACTTCCTGAGAATGCTGGGACCAGCTATTGGTTACGGTCTAGCTTCGTTTGCCCTCAAGTTCTATATAAGTCCCACTTTGACGCCTACGATTACAACACAGGATCCAAGGTATGTATGTAAAATGTTGTCTCGTATTTGTGCGATTCCACGGACACGTATTATTATTTAGAAATAGTTGAACTAAGAACGCGTTAATTTCTCTGATCAGAGTGTATCGCTGTATATCTTCATCTAATAGAACTCGTCGAAACGAAATTGCTGAAGAACATTGAGATATTACTGGTACTGTTACCTATTATCTATCTTGTCGTTATAAAATCAGTAATTTCTTTTGAAATGAATAGGTGGCTAGGTGCCTGGTGGCTCGGTTGGATAATCCTGGCGTTCCTCCTTTTCTTCTTCGCAAGTGTGATTGCGCTTTTCCCGAAAACTCTGCCAAGAGCTGCGGCCCGCAAGGCTTTAGCGCTGGAACGAAACAAATCAGCAACCAGCATAAAAGGAAACGAGGAGACGGAATTGCCCGCTTCCATTTCAGACATGTTAAGGACGTTTAAACGACTTCTGACGAACACCACTTTAATGTGCAACAACTTAGCAACCGTTTTCTACTTTATGGGATACATGCCTTACTGGATCTTCATGCCGAAATATATCGAGACACAGTACAAACAATCCGCTTCCGTTTCCTCGTTAATTACCGGGACAGTAGGTTTGGTCTTCAGCGCCTTTGGAATTCTTCTTTCCGGCTTAGTTATTTCCAAGTACAAACCTAAAGCGAGATACTTGGCTGCGTGGAACGTGATGGTGGGCGCTATATCAGTTATGGGGATGATTTCCTACGCTTTCCTAGGCTGCTCTGCTAACGACAATCAGATCACCGTTCAGGCGAATGGTGCTTTGAAGACTGAGCTTCCATGCAATGAACAGTGTCACTGCGACTACGTTACTTATAATCCCGTCTGTTCGGAACACAATCAAACCTTCATTTCAGCTTGTCACGCCGGATGTCGCAACATGAAGGTTCGATATGTTATTTTATTCACCTCTTTTCACACTTTTATCAAACTTTTACAATTTTCTAGTTTCGTATTTGAAACTTAAAAGCTGACGGCTGGAGTTGTAATAACATTCAAACTATTTTCCAGAGATTTATTTAAAACGAATTCGCAAATTAGTATTAGCATTGAATTTCGGATTTTTTTTGCCCCTCGATCAATAAATAGGAAACCAAATGTTATTAAGAAAAATTAATTTTTCATGCAAAAATAGTTTATGTGGCAGTAATTTTACTCTCGCTATAATAAACCTTTATGTTTCTTTTATAAATACTTTCGTATAATTCATACGCAGGATGTTCCACAAAACGTAGTATACGCAGGCAGAGTGATACTTCAGGAAGAAAATATATCAGAAGAATAAAATTTTCTTGAACGAAACTTAGTTCTCGAGCAATTCGATTTTGAAAATTCGTAATAATGAATATGATTTTACATCTTTGATACTTTTATTAATATTGGTATTCGAGGATATCGATATTATAGTAAAATATCAATTAAATATCATACATTCGAATGGATTGAAAATTGATTTGTTCGAAAAATAAAATTTACACGAAGGAAAGTCTCCTTTTTAATTTCTTCCAAAGTAGAAATTAAGACGAAAAGCTTTTCTGAAATATTTTTCCATGAAAATTCTTTCCTTGCCTGAAGGTATTATATTTTGGGAGACACCCTGTGTAATAACGCCGCAAAGCTAAAAAGTGACAATTACTTTCAGATCCATGCAAATGGCAGTAAGATCTACACGGAATGCGGTTGTATCAAGTCGAAGTTTACACGTTCTTTACCATTTTTGTTTGTGAATAACGCGTCGATGGACACAACGGAAGTACCAGTTGGAAGCACCGTCCCTGACACGCCAGCAACATTAGGCACCGCGGTACCTGGTGCCTGCCCCGTCGACTGTATGCACAAGTTTTACATCTTTCTGGCCGTGGTCTGTCTGCTCAAGTTCAGCGGTGCCACTGGCAGGGCGTCAAATTTTTTGGTCTCTGTTCGATGCGTCGACGAGAAGGATAAAACAGTGGCTATGGGCTTCGGTTTAACTATTATGAGCTTATTTGCGTTCATACCCTCCCCTATTTTGTTTGGATCCATCTTGGGTAAGACATGTTCTTTAAAAAAAAAAATAAAAACTCTCGTTGTGCTGAAACGATAATGTCCCGACTAGAATTTCAGTTAGGCATGCCTAAAGACGAATGTGGGCCTAATGCGGAAACGATTAGGCATACCTAAATGCTGCAAGCCTAATCGTTACCGCATTAGGTCCTAATTCGGAAAGAACGATGCATGCCTAAGTTGGGCGTTCCTAACAGTTGCCATACGTGGCCCAAATTGGGGTGGCCGAGCGCACGATTAGGTTGGGCATTCCTAACAGTTGCCATACGTGGCCCAAATTGGGATGGCAGAGCGCACGCCTAAGTTGGGCATTCCTAACAGTTGCCATACGTGGCCCAAATGGAGGTGGCCGAGCGCACGCCTAAGTTAGGCGTTCCTAACAGTTGCCATACGTAGCCCAAATTGGGATGGCCGAGCGCAGGCCTAAGTTGGGCATTCCTAACAGTTGCCATACGTAGCCCAAATTGGGATGGCCGAGCGCAGGCCTAAGTTGGGCATTCCTAACAGTTGCCATACGTAGCCCAAATTGGGATGGCCGAGCGCAGGCCTAAGTTGGGCATTCCTAACAGTTGCCATACGTGGCTGAAATGGAGGCACACCTAAATTAGGTGGAGTGGGGCTCACAAACTTATATGCAGGAATATTTACAGACATCTCAGTGTCGGACGTACGTTTGCGTGAGAGCTTTCAACATACCGTGTCTTGATAAGGTATTCCTCATGAGATTTCATTAACGTCTCCCAATGACAGCCTAATAAAGCTATTATAACATGGGGCTAATGCGGTTAGCCTCATTGGATAGTCATTGGGAAATCCTAATGCGGCCCTATCGCGGCTTTCCCGATTAGGCGGTTGTGAATACTCCGCGTTCCATACTGCATGCGGGCCTAACAGGCAAATTAGGCTAGCCTAATGCGGACCTAATATCTGCCTAACTGAAATTTCTAGTCGGGGTATATGCTGTTTATAAAATTGCTCAAGCAGTTTATCGAATTGAATATTAGATTTTAACTATTCTGACACGAATCACGTATAATTTGCAATTATGAAAGACATTATGTAGCTGAGATGTCAAATTCAGATATCAGATCTAGAATGCTTGGTTTCAAATCTTCCATATTTATTACATACTTATTCCAAGATTTTTTTCCCATGAATTATCACTTATCTTCCGCAAGATTTATCGAACAAACGAATTTAATTTTTTATAATTTTTTCTACAGACAAAACCTGTCTCGTTTGGGGGAAAACATGTTCAGGCACAGGAAATTGTTGGCTGTACAACGGAGAAACGTTGAGATACCTATTAAACTTCACCGCGGCCAGTAAGTTATCCTTTCTCAATAATCTTCCTCCGTGACGGATGATTTTACCAACGTTACGGCTTCTTTTAGCTTTTGTAGCGATCGGTACGTTGTTCGACGTGGGTGTCTGGTATTTCGTGAAAGACGTAAAGATCTTCGACGAGGAGATCGAGCTGAAAGACATAGCCGAAGAGCCTGGAGAGACACTTTGAGAGCGAGTCGTTAACGATCGAGTCAGATCGCTTCGTTTCAAGGAGAGGTGGAGTAAGGGTTGAACGGCGTGGTCATTTGGTGAAGAGAGAGAAAAGAAAAAAAACGAAAGATGGACACGATGGAAGGAAAAGGGAAAGCCAACGAATAAAGACTTTACAAGTACCTTAAGCAACTTCCTAGATATTTAAAAGCTCGTAGTACCTCAGATAGAACTTACTGTTAACTATTTCGTTCGTGAAGCACAACATTCGAAGAAGAAAATGAATTGAATTTTTTACTACCCTCGTTTCATTACCATTATTTTCCCCCGATAATTTTTATCGCTTATGAGAAGCCTGAAATCCTTCTGCCCGATACAAGCTGTGTAAGGATAACTGTAAGAGGATTCGCATCAATTTCAGGAGCAATTCAAATCGGTCGTAAACACACGTTCTGTGTACAAAATATAATCTAAACGAAAGAATTTGTATCTACAGGTGAAAGGAAGTATTTTATACTTTATATTTAACAATATGGTGTAATGTATCATGTTTCTGTAAATTGACGAAGCGTCGCAACGTTCTCGAAATTATATTCATTGTCAGATGAAATTCTACTAAAATAAAATTATTACCTTTCGTTCGAAACAGAGATTAGTTTGCGTAATATAACGACAGATACAAAAGTACAGGCATTTTATCGAAATTACATCGCAATAATATCGAAGTAAGGTTGATTGCGAATAATTTGCTGTTTTATGTTTTAAACGATTGAAGGGAATGGAAATTAATAATAGCTTTATTACGAAAGTTAGGGAAGTGTCGTATAATGAAAAAACCTATCGGTGAATTGAAATTGATTGGACTTAATGTATTCGAAATTTTGTCGATACGTACGATCGTAGAACTTTCAAAAATAACATTTAATGCAGATCAGATGGTTGCAATTTTAAACAGAGACTTACTACTTTGCAATCCTTATTTTAGCAGTGTACATCTTCCAATGCAATAATTTTAACCTGAAAGATCTGCATTTGACATGACTCGAAATATCATCTGTAAAAATCCCTATTTTGTATGTGCGAAAAAAGTGTGTATCCCTTCTTTTCTCAATTTACAAATTAAAACGATAGATTTGAGAAAGTTACAGTTTTTGATTTAACAAGTTCGATCGATTGCTGCCTGAATAAATCCAAACCTGAGTGAATTTTAGAAAATTAAAAGGTAGTACGTTTCGGTAAATTTGTAATACGTAGAAAACAGAATAACAATTACATTAAACATCGTAATAATAATTCAGCACTCTTGTTTTCCACAAAAAAATTTTGCAATTAAATAATAACGTATAACAATTAAGATTAATGAAATTATTATGCTTTCATTGTTGCTAACATGACTTAATTATAAAATTCAACATCGTTAGATTTTAAATATGCTACGTTCTGGCCGAAAGGAAACGTGGCAAATTAAGTAAAGGGGAACACATTTAGTTTGTTGCATAATTTTCATATAAAAAATGAAATGCTTATTGAAATAATCATGTTTCTAAATAATATTCTTTATTGTGAAGTTTTCATATTAAAACTTTCAATTTGAGAGATACATATGTAAGTAAGAGAAACAAAAATTTACCACCAGTTCTTAAATGATTTTTTAATAATATTATTGGAATGTTAGGCTGCAAACAGAGTTTGTTCACAGGAAATTCAAAAAATAACGATTATATTTTAATAATAGCAGAAAAAAAAACAAATAAACAAAAGACCTTCTTACCTACATGGCCTTCTCCTTTTGCCTAGTCGTTACATTACTTCATTTTAATAACAATATAAGAAAAGGACACTTTCTTTGGTTTTTAATTAAGTTTGAAAATTTGAATTTTGATTAGTGTTTTAAATCAAATACTCCACTGTGCAGCGGTGGGGAACTGTAAGGGGTTGATCGGATGATCCAAGCTGGATGCGAACTTCTGGTGATGTGAGGGAAATAGGACGTGAGCATGAGTGATGAAGAGAAGGTTGTTGATTCCAGTTGGACAATCCAAGCTGGTGGTGGATTTCCTCCGGAAGAAATTATACTTCAAGGAGTGGATAGCTGACTACCTTTTCTAACACGTACATATATGTATGCGCGCGGTTTATGATCCGTATCTCAATCCGTGTATTTTTTAGTACACGGGTACTCGTGGACTATTTCACGTGTATATAAATACACGTGTATCTAAATGCACATGTATCTAAATACACATTGTAACGCCTAGACAAACTCTGCATTCTTCGTAATGCCCAGATGAATTTCGCATACCAATGAACGAATTCTTTACCAATGTATTATATAAAAATCAATCATGCTCTCAATAAAAGTCCCACTTCATTCTCAAACGTAACCAAGTGTAGATCATTACTATGCCTGATCTAATTACGATATTGAGTGCGAACGTTAATTACTTCGCTCTGTAATGATAATCCTTGAAATTAGTAAAGTTTACTCTTACTGGAGTTGCGATTCTTGAAATCAAAATAGAGTTTAACACCAACACCGGAGAACATTTTTTAATTTCAATTATTATTTTCTCACGTGCATCAATTTCTCCCGTCACAACGTGTATTAACGATATCCCTATTTTGCATATTTTTCCGCACATTATACTAGTAAATATATACAAATACTCTAAATCTTTTGTTAATTTCGCAACCCTTCAGATTTCTTGAATATTCACATATTAAAAATCACACGAATCGAAATACGGATACGTTAATACACGTGAAATAGGGACCTCTAGTTAGGATGGCAGTGAACCGCTGCCTGGTAACGACTCTATTTTTCTTTTCTTTTTTTTTTGCCAATGAGTAATGGGGTGTCCTGCTTCTAGTAGTGAGATACCACTTTACCAGAGAATCAGGGTAGTAGTAGTGGTATTATCAGCATAAGGTAGAGGCCCACATGAGATGGCTGTAGGAAAAAATTTCAAGAAAACCTACAGCAGAAGAGACCAGTATAAAATACAAGCATAAGTTTGTGGAGATGCCTGAACAGAGGGAAGTGAATAAGTGTTGGAGAAAGACAACGAGGGTTAAAAACGAGAAGGTAAGGTAACCATACGAGATGTAGTTCCGGTCGTAAGGATCAATTTGTCTAACGAGAGAGTTTGAACGATATGTGACCGAGTACCTGCACACAAGCTGTGAGATATAGTCGAGAATATGCTGGTTGTTTGCGTCCTCATGGAGAAAGCAGGATGTTAAAAAAAAGGCCAATTTTGGCATACGGCCGAAACGAAAAATTTTTTACAGCATGATTCTACGCATCCTAAGGAACGAAAAATGTAATTGTCATTTTTCCTGGAAATGATGGGAAAGTTATGAAAAATGCGGTTCAAGATAAGAGTATGACCATACTTATAACTTATATACCGTCTCCTTTTCTTCAGACGATGGTCTGTTCGTAAATTAACCACTTAGAAACTCATATTGAGTATTATTTACAAAAATTGTTGTGCATTAGTGTTTAATAAAAACCAAAAATAATGAAAAATAATTAATGACAAATTAATCGAAACAA